TCCCACTCCGCTCCCACAGCGAGTGGGTAGGGGTGGGCAAGAGGTTGGGAGGGGGCACAGCCAGCACAGGTGACCCAAACTGACCAAAGGGATATTCCATACCATATGATGCCATGGTCAGCAATAAAAATGGAGGATAGTCTTTCTGTAGCCGTTGCTCGGAGACCGGCTGGTTATCAGTCTGCTGGCAGGAGGTGGTGAGTGATTGCCTTTGCATCACTTGTTAGTTTTTTTCCCTTTTCTTCACTTATTAAACTGTCCTTATCTCAACCCATGAGTTTTCTTGCTTTTCTTCTCCCCCTTATCCTGCTGGGGGTGAGATGGGGAGTCAATGAGTGGCTGGTGGGTACTTAGTTGCTGGCTGGGGTCAACCCACCACAGACTACCAAACTTTAAATGCCATATGAATGGAACTTAGCTTCAGGTTATTTTTAAAGTTTCTTCAGAAATAGCTCAGTCATTTCAAAGAAAACGCTAGAAAAATTGTGCTGCATTCACTGGGAAATTTCAGCATCTTTATATTGACGATGAAGGGCCTGAAACCTGGACCATGGGTTCCTGGTGTGACTGTGTGCCTTTTGATCTCCCCCAGAACCATCCCCGCCCCCCCAAAAAAAAAGAAAAAAAAAAAAAAGGCAAGCAAACAAAATCGGAGCACCCTAGCCCGGATAATCTGTTCGCATGTGCCCAAGGGGACTTGCTGAGACTCAGAGCTAAGTGCTCCAAAGCTCCCACTGCCATGGGCATAGCACCCTGCACCCTAGCCCGGATAATCTGTTCGCATGTGCCAAAGGGTGACACTCAGAGCTAAGTGCTCCAAAGCTCCCACTGCCATGGGCGTGCTCCAGCCCAAGCCTGCAGGGAGGAAGCAAACATTCTCAGTTGCTTTTCTTGTCAGTTGGAAGATGTTCTACTAACGAGCACAAGAGCTGCAAGCAGGGAACCATTTTCCCCTTGTAGTTTTAATACTGATGAACAGACAGCAAACAAAATAAAAAATAAAACGCTCCTTGGCTTAAATGCAGAAGTCTAAATATGAGGTAGGCTTTGCATGGTTGAGCTGGTAGCGCTGGAGCTAGAGGCCAGGAAGTTTCAAGACTCTGAGCTTTGCTGGGATGAAGACAGGCTGGGGGCCTGCAAGCAGAGGAAGACAAGTTGGAGCCCAGAAAAATGAGAAGATAGAAAGATTTTAAAAAACAAGGTTGCAGTGGCAACCTTGCAAATTCAACAAGAAGTCCCAGGAGGGAAAAAAAGTGAGGATGAAGGCATGGTTTCCAAAAGGAATGGCAAAATATTTAGGTCTAGGAAGGCAGAGAGACAAGGACTGAGACAGGAAGGTCTAAGTGTAGCCACTACAGCCAAGTTTAAAGGAAGACTTAGTTTAAAGGACCAGGTTTCTAGAATAAAGGCTGGATTCTAGATTACAACCCACCTGTCTGCCACCAAGAAAATCACTTTTGATTGGAAAGCAGAGCACGCATCTGTCTAGCACTCAGCTAATGAGGCATCAGTAGGAAAAAAATTACTTACAACACTTGGGACAGAAAGTACTGTCAACACCAAATGTGGTGGTAACATTTTTCCAAGTTCCCAAGCCTAGCACTTTCTAATGCATGTCTTCCTGCATGTTTGTTGGTTTGGGTTTTTTTTTCTTGATGACTGGCTCTATTCTCGGTTTACAAGGACCAGGCCACTGTATGACTGGACACATGGCAAGACAGTGGGTGTGATTTACATGTCATGACAATTATGCGAAGTAAACGGCCACTGTATTTATGGCATCTGCATTCATATCTGGTCAAAGGAAATAATAGTGTTGCGGTTAACCATGTCAAATTTGTTATCTTGCTGTTACACAGACTTCTACCCTATTGACCTTCTGTAATATCACTTCACTAGATGGTTAGGGCGGGGGCTCCTTTCCAGGTCTTGGAGCAGATGTGAGCCCAGTTTCTACACAGGCATTGCTGCCTGAAGCCGCAGACAGGCATCTGCTGGACAGGCCATCCTTTGGGGCCATGGCCTCATCACACCATTAGAAACCAGCTCTTGTGAGTATCTCTAGTTTCATCTGTTGGAAGTAAGCAAGAGGAAGCAAGTGTTTTTGGGAGACACCCTGTGCGCCTTTCCTGAACTTCCACAGAAAGTCACTCTTGAGTTTCCTGAGGACCCCATTTCTCCATGCAAACCTGCAAAGGTTCATTACATCCCATTCTCCAAGTCGTTAGTGAAGACAGGGAACAATGACAGACCCAGTATCAATTGCTGAAGAATGCAGTAGTAGTCAGATGCCAGCTGGACTTTGTACCACTGATCACAGACGGTATCCCTCCAAGCCCAGCTGGTCAGCTAATTTTCCACCCACTGTGTAGGTCACTTAATCAAACCATCTCTCTCCAATTTGGCTACAAGAATACTATGAGAAACCATGTTAAGAGCCTTGTTAAAGGTAAACAACATTTTCTGCCGTCCCCTTGTCCACAGAATCTGCCATCTCATCATAAAAGGCCATCAGGTTGGTCAGGTGTGATCTACCCTTTGCAAATTCATGCTGACTGTTCCAAATCACCTTATCCTTACTGCACTTGGGTAGTCATGGCTTCAAGGAGGATTGTTCTATAATCTTCCCAAAGAAAGGGGTCAGGCTGGCTGACCAGTCTTCTGTAGTTCTGTGGGTCACCTTCTTGTCTTTGAAAATGGGTGGCAAATGACATTTACCTTTTTACACTTATCAGAAACCTCATCCATGACTCTCTTGGGGCACAAAGACAAGAATGATGGAAGTGGTAGGTCTTCCTACTGACACAGAAAGTTTCCTAGAAGAGAATGGGAAGAAGAGAGAAGACAGACACCAACAGAATAGAATGTTGCACACCCATATCCTACAGTTCTGTATCTGTCAGGGCTCAGCAAGGACCAACGGCTCCCTAAGGGCCAAGGGCCAGAAGCCGAGGGAGATACCACGACTGGCAAGGCAGAGGCCTCACCAGCCAGGGCCCCATCCCCACAGCACCCAAGCAAGGCAAGCAGGACAGGGATGGTAACCAGGGTCAAGCCAGAGTCCAGATCACCAGACAAGCTTGTAGCGATGAAAGAGGGCCAATGTGAAGCTGGGAAGTCAATCCACAGGCCAGGATCAGATCCAGTGATGCTAACCAGGGTCAGATATAGCCATGACTGGCAGGCAGCTTCATAGTAATAACACACATCCGAGTCCAAGCAGGAAGACCGTCCACGGGTCAGGGTCTGGATCAATGGGCAATTTCCATGCCCACACACAGGCATGACTATAACAGAGCTAGAGACAGGTAGACCTTGAATATCGCTCAGGCAGGGACTGAAACCCTGGCTTGATCTTAAATGGAGTTCCTGGGCCCATGAGCAGGGGGTGTGGGTGGAGGTCCCACATACGGATGATCAGGACCATTAAGACCTATTAGTGCTCTCAGAGCCATGACAGGATCCATGGTTTGTACAAAGTAACCCCACTGGTGACATTCATATTACAAGTCCTTCCAAGTACAGGCAACACGCAAGACAACGGGCACACATCACACCCCTGACAGGTACCTTCAGTGCTAGTGAATGCCCTCATGCTCGTATTTGTCAGTTCACTTCAAGCAACATAGCACTAGTTTTTTCATAGTAGCCACATCTAGGTGGATGTCAGCATCTTGCCTGTCTAAGGCCAAGGGCTTGCTGTAGTATCGTGGCTTCAGTCAGCACCATAAGGAGCACGACAAATGACAACTGAATAAGAGCATCTGGCACAGTCCTCTTACTATGCAGGTGCATACAGCAATTATGCAGTAAGCGTAGCACAGGCTAGAGGCCAGCCGTAAGTGCAAAGCACTTTAAGTGCAAAGGCTTACAGGACAGCTACTGAGCCAACACATGAACCAAGCAGAAAGGATGTGGCCAGTCTATCCCAAAGATCCTAGCCATACCAAAGCAGTGTAGGCACAGGTCACCATGTGAACGTGGTCACAGAGCCAAGATTCACTCCTTGGTGTAAGAGAGGAAGAAGATATAGCTGTATCCACTGGGACACAAAACTGGCGTTCTCACTTACTGGGTGCACAGGGTCAGTGAGCAAACTTCTCCAAATATTTAGAATATAATCGTCATGGGTCAATGGACTGAATAATTTCCTATTGAAAAGAATTCACTCAAGCATTTAAGTCAGCTCATGTATCATCATGCAGAACAAAACCCAAAATAAATTGACAGGAACTATGTGTTGTTTGTACTTGGTACACTTAAGGCTACAATGAATCTTCCTTAATGCAGGCAGTATAATACAGGTGCTAAACTCCCAAGAAAATGCAAAATAAAACCTTCTCAGAGTTGCCAATATTATTACAAAATTCTCCAGTGGCAACATTCCCCACTGACTAATAGTTGGGCATCCAGCCAGAAAAAAAATTCTAAGTGATCTGGACAGCCGTGCCAGACAGGAAGGGAGTTAAAAACCTCCCGAGTAGTCCCCTAGTTTGAGAGAAGAAATGTACACATGATAGAAGGGAGGACTCCTTTCTCCCAAAAAAGCCAATTTTTAATTCAGCATACAGATAGAGCTAGGAAATTATAATGTTATGCTCCACTGGGTAATTATATCCAAGATGCCTACAAGCATACATCTTCAGGAACGGAGTAGTACTGAAGGCTTTTTAAGTACTCGTGCCAACCAATTCCCAACGCCAAGTCAGAGCATGGCGGGGGCGGGGGGGAAAGATGCTGAAGAGAAAAACATTTCTGATGTGTTTTCTGAAGTATAAGTACAGGCTGCTAGCAGTTCATTAGAAAAAACTTGGACTCAAGTCCAGTTCTCACTTGCAACTATGAAACCTTTTAAGAAGGAAGATCTGGCACTTATTTTAAAGCTGCTTTTCATCTACAGGAATATCTTCAATGCCTATTTAACTAACGACAATAAACACAACTTTATACTTTTAAACTAAAAAAAAAAAAAAAAAAAAAAAAGACAAGGCATAGCCTTCAAAAGTTTATTTCAAGTATAAAAATTGTTCAGTGAAATATCTACAGAGCTTTTACTTTCAATATAAAGGTTTAAACAGAAAGAATCAAGTAACCAATTTCTGAAAAAATATGATTCAATTCAAAATTCTGAACAATAATGAAAAGGCACTTAAACAAAAGATACCCAGCAACAAATATAATTCTTATGTCACAGTGAACGTGTAATCAAACATTATTTAACTCTTTATAAACAAAGAAATTAATTACTGTCTGGTTAAAGTGAGCATCATAGTCCAGACAAGAGTGAATTCAAACTCCCTGCACTTCAACAGTCGCACTTTTCTTTCAAGTGTAAAGAAAGCAGAGAGAGAGAGAGAAAACCAAAAGAAGAGAAGTCTTCAGCCAACTATCAGTTTACAGCATTGTGGTCAGATGAAGAACTCAGAGTTCAGTTTGTACAAGTTCCACAAAAAGAAATGTAAGAAAACTGGGTAGCAGCATAAATACTTCATGGCATCCCCTGATCTGTATGTTTGATTCAAGGGTTTTATATTTGTATTCCCAGTTCAAAAAAAAAAAAGTTTCTACAAAAATAGAAAGCCTTGTTAGAAGCACAACAATCAGACTAGCATAAGTAGAAAATAAAGGTGTAATGCTTGTGACTCCACTGCAATCCCTTTCCAGTAGGAATATTTTGCTACTGCCAGCAATGGAAAGTACCACAAGTAGAAGTTTTCCAGGATCAGAAAAGAAAACAGACTATGACTATTTAAATGAGTTTGAGTTTTTTTGGTCAAGATTCAACTAACTCCTGGATCTTTAAAAAAAAGATTCAAATATGCCAAAAAGAAACAATACATTTGACAATGGCATTTTCAGCACCAAAGCGTATTTGTGCAATAAATACAGGGTAAGGTCTCAATCATTCACAAATAAGAGGCAAATAGGGGGAAAAATTGCCAACACACCCCAAATTTATTTTTTTTTTACAATTATTCAGAAATATGAAGTAAACAGGAAAAAGCATTTTAGTGTTGCCATTTTTTCCCAGTGATACTGAGTAAGACCTACGATACAGGAGTGCTATCAAGGCTTTTGCATCTTTTTTTCCAGATACATTTTCCTGTAGGTCTGAAACATCTCTTTTGAGTCTTTGATTGGAATGTGAAGAGCCTCGCCATCTCCATCCAGAATCTGTATAGCTGTATCAAGTGGAATACTGTTGTCAGCTGAAAGACAGACAGAGAAGCAGGTTAAAGCAAAAGTCTAAGAGTCTCAAATGACTCTACTCCTTATGCATGTGGTACTTAAGGCCACCCACTGTCAAAAAGGATGCCACAAACTTCCTTCCTAAAGCACCAGGCACCTCAGATTTAAATCAATCAATCTCCAATGCATCTTTAAGCACCAAATGGTCATTTCAGTGTCTTCGGAAGAGAGATTTCTAAAGAATATTAAGAAAGATGTGAATGAAAATGTGCATTTGTGAAAGTAAGAGAAGAAACAAAAGGAAGGGCTAAAGAATGGCAGACACCAATAGCCGAAAACACATTCAACAGCAATAAAAGATATAAACATTGCAAAATGTGTTGCTTGCATCAAGACCACAACACAGACAACTTGTCAGCAGAGGACTTGCACTCTGATAAGAAGAGGACGGCAACAAGGTTACAGCATGCTGAATGCACCATTTCGCTTCCTGTTAGACCAGCAGGAAAACGAGACTATAGCTAGAAAGATACCTAAAGCAAAGAAACAAAGACAGCGGGGAACAACCTCGCCCAAGATTTACGAAGGATGGAACAACCAAGATCCTGAGATGAAAGATGCCACTGTTGGCTCCTAAGGGGTACAAAAGACCATCCAAAAAGCAATTTGCCAATCAAGAGAGACAAGAAAGATGTAGTAGTGGCACCACTTTTCCTCTGTGTGTCATACAATTAATCCTGTCCAGACTACTGGGACACACAGTCCCGGTACTTGTGAGCACAGGTGTATGTGCAGACAGCGTCAACTTACTGTGAAAGCCAAATAAAATTAAAAAAAAAAAAATCACTTTCTGTTTTTATAGTCTCACACTAGATTTTGTTATGTCACTTCCTACCTTTTAAAGTGGGAAAGAGCTAGCTTGGTCTTTATCTACAGTTTAAAACTGTACTTGAATCTTATCACCAGTGCTACCTCAGATTCAACTGCACACACGTATGCAGGAAAATTCCAACAACCTCCAACAACATATTCTTAGGGCAATAAAAATCTCCACAAATCTTAGAAACTCCTATGTCTACTCTACAGTACCCATTTCAGCAGCAGAGCTAGTAAAGAATAAGTTAAAATACTTTATTAAGATTTGCTACTGTAAAGGAACACTTAAAACCAAGCAAAGCGTATTTAACTTATATTTCAAAACAGATAATCAGAAGTTATTTCACCTGTAGAGATCTCTTCCAGCTTTTTTTGCTTCACTGGATCACATTTTAACCAATCTTCTTTTTTACTCTTGACACCTAAAGAGAAAATTTAAAAAATGTTTTTGAGGTTCCTATGTCAAAGGTCTCCATTCAGCATCAGGTTTTAACACATATACTAGCACACACAAAAGGAAATTTCCTTTGGGTGAAAATGACTGCAAGGGCTGGTATGTACAAATTAAGATTTGGTTTTATTTAAAATCAAATATAGCATTTGACACAAACATGCTTCACAATGTACCACGTAAAATGTCGAAAGATTGAGGATAGGGAAGAAGAGGAGGAAAAAAGGCTGCTTAAAGCAAAGATGGCAATGGTTACGGAGACTGCAGGATATGTCTGGCCCAAGCCCTCTCTCTTCCTCAATGCCGCAAAAGATCTCTCCCTCCGCTGTCTACCCAGCCAGATTTATACACAACCAGGCGGACACTGAATACAAGTCAGATCACCTTTGGTAACTACGCCAAGGGAATCTGCTTTCTACAAACAAGCCAAGCTATCTTCTACAAGTAGGTTAGAAAGCCTTCTCACAAAGTTATTTGAAACTGCCATGCTCTAAACTACTCTAACTTTATTCTGTAAAACTTAAGGAAAAAGAATAAAACACTAAATTGAAGGAAGTCTTATGTTCTTTTTCAGCTTAACACACAGCTACAGTCTGTCAGAAAGCTAGCTAAGCTATTTCAACCTTCAGCTTCTAGCGTCCCACGTTTTCACTGTCTGTAGTTCTGTGTAACATGAATTTAAAAATGAGTACATACTTTTTACTTGCAAATTGACTTACAAATTAACAATCAAGATAGCATCATACCTGCCACAATGGCTTTCTCTCTTTCCAGGGGATTCTTTGCAGCTAAGCTTTCTTCATCAGTGGTTGGAATTCTGAACAGTATCTCTGGACACAGCTTAAATTCAAGTACTTCCAGTTTGCATGATTTCTCGACTTGTGAGACAGAAGCATCTCTTTTTGCATCTGGGCTGTTTTGTGACACTTTGGGCTTTATATGACAGACGGGTCTGACAGGCGATGTCTCTAATTTTGTCAGATATATGCGTTCCTGTGCCATACGTTTAAATGCAACTCTATTCAGGTAGTGTTTTTTTGGTTCCTTTTGAAGATGCAATTTTAATCTGTTATTTCTTCTATTTAAGTATAGCAGGTTTTTATCTGGAAACATTTTCTCAGAGCACTTGTCTTTGTTTTGACCATCGAGACGTCTCTCTTTGTTACCAAAGTAGTTTTTAGAGATGGTAGAAGATCGAGACCTTTTTCTCTGTAGTTTAAGCACAGAGCGATCTGCTAATGAACTCTTCGGTTTCCAGCCATTTTCTCCATTCAATTTTTTAGCTTTGTCAGTATTTATCATGCATTTATGTGAAAACTGCTTGGAATTCTTTGCTTCAGATTGTTTCAGTCTTTCCTCTTCCACCTTTGTTTTCTTAGGGTCTCTCTTTCCAATCATACTTTCCTTCCTCTTCCGTTTGTACGACTGCTCCTGTGAAGGATGAACTTTCATAGATTTATGCTGAGAGTATTTGCGGTTTCTTGACTTTAAGTCTACAGTGCCAAAATTTAGGAACTTCATAGCATCAGCATGATAACTATTCATCTTTTTATGTTTTATTTCTGCTGATAATTTGGCTTTCTCTTTGATGTTAATTCCTACATCGTGCCCAAGTATCTCCACTTGTTTCCTACAGTTCTGTTCTTCAGCTGAGTTCTCTTCACAGGTTTTAATTTTTTGTCCTTGATTGACTTCAGCGTGCTTAATTTCAACAGTTTTTGACTTTGTAAATTTGTGAATGTCTGTTTTGGATTTCATGGCCAAACCTGTTTTGGTTTTATCTTTTGAAAGGGACTCCATTTTGAAAACTCCCTCTTTCTTTTTGGATGACTTCGTCATGTTGTCTGCATCTATATGACCAGCTTCCTCTGACAACTCTTCTGAGACTGTCTGATGTTCTTTTTCGTCAGAATGAAATTCTTTGCCTAACAACGGGGTTCCTCTGTCGATTTGCAGCTCCTCCTTACAGCTGCTCCTTTTAGATTTATCAACATCCTGGTTTTCAGAGGAATTAAGTGGTCCAATATTTTCCTGTTGTGATGTAAGTGGCTTGTATTCATTACTCACCTTTAGCCTAGCTTTTTTGTTCATTACAGAGGTGTATTTGCAAATATCTTTTTTATTTCTGCTAACACTTTTCGGGATTTTTTCAGAAATTGGCAGGTTTCTCACTGCACAGTTGTTCGTCATTATGGCATCAGATTTACTGTTGTTTCCTTGTGTCTCTGCAGAGCTAGTATTTTCAGCTTTTGAAAGTTGATCATTTTTTGCTGAACCAGACGTTCCAAGTTTACAGGGGCACTGTGGCATTTTACATGCTACAGAGAGCCAACCCATTAAAGAAAAATCTTTTTTTTTTTTTTTCCTGGGGTTGGAAGGTTTTTGTGGTTTTTTTTTCTTCTCGCATAGACTCCAACCAGGCTGAATACTGCCTTCAAGGTTCTCCTTCTCAGCTGAAGCCTTTTCTGACTGTTGACTCGCTACTCTCTTCCTGTCACTAGAGGAACACTGGTTGTGTTCAGGAAACAGTTCTTGCACCTGATCAGAGCTTAACACTGCAATTTTTATCTGATCTACTGGGTCCTTCAAATGAGAATTCTTGTCACAAATTTGAGTCTCTCTTTGAGGTTGATTCTCCATCCGCTCAGCCACAGAATCATTTTGTACTGGTTCTCTTGTTAGCATATCAGCACCTTCAATGCCATACGGAAACTCTTTCACTAGTTCAGACAGCTGATTGTTTAGACATTTAATAGGTTCTGCTCCAAAAAGGTTCATCTCTTTTTCTGTGCTATTTTTACTGGACATGTAATTTTGTTTACTGTTGTCTCTTGGAACAGTGAATGCATTTGTTTCAGCAGTTACACTGATCGAGAGATCTAGTGAATTTTGAGCTAACTCCTGGTTTATACTAGCAAGAATTTCCAAGTCATTTTCAGGATGCTTGAAAGATGCGTTGAATGACGTTTTTTGTTCTGAGGTAGAAATTGTTTTAAGAGGATTGCCACTGCTTTCTTTCTCCAAATGACTAGCTGTGATACCATCCAAAATCTTACCTGCTTTACTCATGCAGCTTGATGATTCTTCCAACATCTTTTGCAGCAAGCTCTCTCTTTGGGGAGTGTTATTGCTCAGCTCATTTTTATCCAAGTCCAGCTGTTGCTCCTTTTGCCTTGGGTCAGATGCATTTCCTTCTGACGAGGTATCATTTAATGAACATGTCTCAGGGACTGACCTGAAGATACTTGCTATTTGTGGATTATAAAATGTATCACCTTCAACAAGAGAACATACACTTGAAATACAAAACATCTGTTCTTCCAGCACAGCTGTGGATGTATCTCCTGTCTCTAACACAGCTGGCTTGTCTTTATGGTCTTTTATACCTTCTTGAAAGGTTTGACTAGAAAAATTTATGCCCAATTCAGGAAGAGAAGGCTTGTTTTGTAATCCAAGCTGCAGATTTTCTCTGGCATCTTGTGCAGATTGACTAAGCTTCCTTTGGTTTTCATCATATGAATCATTTGCACTCACACTGTTTTTTACTATTCTGTTTCCATCAGCTAATTTGGTCTGTTGCAAATGTGAGTCCACTTTCTGTACCAGAACACAATCACTGCATGACGACCGAACAGTTTCTGTTGTTCCTTTATCGGTATTTACCACACTCAAACCATTTTTCCCCTCTTCTTGCGGGCTACATGTGCTTCCCGATTCAATCGCTGGATAGGTTTTACCTGCAGATGTTGGACATTTGTCTGCCTGCTCACTCTGTGTTCTCTGTTCAGAAAGTACTAAAGGAGAGACAACTGCAACTTGGAGTTCAAAATTTTTTATCAAATTGCAACTCAACGTATCAAGTTTTTGTCCTACAGAAGCAGTTGTTATAGGCAAAACTGCTTCATCTGTACTAACCAGAACATTATTTTGTTCTCTAGTTTTTGTGTTTTGGCTGCAAGGTGAAATCTGATTTGCTGTGGGGCTTTCATTCGACTGGCTATTTTGCACACTTACAGATTCCGACGGATGTTTTCTCCACAAGCCCAGGCATGCAGTTAGCTCTTCCACAGAGTAACTATAATTGCTCTGTTTAAAAGATGTATTTTCAGTAAATGGCGTTTTTTTCTGAGCTACATCACTCTGGAATTTAGCTTCACCAGATTCAGTTGTTTCTGATACAGGAGAGTTTGTGTGAACCTTAAATGACTGCTCACCTTTCAAACTTTCTACTTTCTTCTCACTAGTGTCTTTTAGTAAGGTTCCACCTGAGACAGATGTATCTACCAGTGGTTTTTCACTACACAGGAGACTAGTCAGTATTTTATCAGCAGTAGCACCAGCTGTCTTCTCTTTCAATATGTTTGTGCTACTCAATACAAACTGAAGAAACGATGAGTTCTCAGGGTGAATTGGCACATTCTTTGATGCCATTTTGATAGAGCTATCCACTTGACTAAAACATGAAGCGTTGTTCAAGGACGTCACAGTTTTTTGGGAAGGGGCCAAGGCATATGCATCCCTTTGTTCCGAGATGGGAGTGTTCTCAGGATTATTTAGTTGAGCTGGGAGTTTGCTCTGAGAAGCAATAGGAGCAGAGCTTGATGAAAGGCTTCCCTGCTCCACCTGAGGGTTACTTTGAGTCACCTCTAATCCTCTGTTATCAGCACTGGCTACGTTTTTGTCATTTCTTTCTTCAGGTGAAGAGTTAAGTATCGGACTCGCTGTCCTCGCTGTTTCAGATGGGGAAGGTGGTACATTTTGGTTGGGCACCCATGGAAGACAATTAGCAAGAGTACTTTGATAACTTGGAGGAAGTGGGGGAGTACTTTTCTCATGTTCTGAAGCTGCTAAGAGTTTTCTTCTATAATGATGCATCCTTTCAAGGAGGACACATTTTTTTTTAATAGCGAGCAGCCTTTGAGCTTCCCAAGCTAGTCTGTCCTTTGTAATTGTTCTTCCATCTGCTGCTGCTGAAGAAATTTGAGAATTAACAGGCCCATTCATTAAACTACTAGTCTGGCTTTCTTGAACTGAAGCAGGATCACTCAGTGGCTTTGAAGCAGCCACCGAAGAAAGAGTTTCCATTTCTTGCACATCATACAGTTCTTTGGAAATGCCAGGGGATGGCACAGACATTTCATTAAAAGGCTGATTTGCTGTCACATTTCCACTTGCATTACAGACATTCCTAACTGATTGACTGACTTCTCCAGATTGCTGTTTCTGACAGTGTTGCTGAACACTGCTAAAACCAGAAGCATTTTTTGCATCTGATGGGCACCTCTGTTGGCTAAGGGCGTATCCATTAGGTGCATTTTGAACTGCCTGTGGTACACCTATTGAAGATTGCACTGCAGCTATTGAATCACAGTTGGCAGGCAACAAAGATGGTGCAGAACATCTGGTAGGAGCTTCTGATCCCATCTGACTTGGTCGATACTGTAGCAGCTGTACATTTGCTGCAGAATTTTGACTCAGTGAGTGTAACACTTTAAACTGAGTGTTGGGATGATACATTTGGTTTTGGACATGTTGCCCAGATGTACCAAAAGACATAGAATTATTCTGGGAATGAATGTTACTTTGATATAACATTGTAGTTCTCATAGAATTACCCTGCGGTATTTGTGGCCACACAGTGTAACTGTTTGTGGTGACATACTGAGGTTCCTGAAGCACATTCCTCACGTTATTTCCAGCATTCATTTGAGAAGACAGGGAAGGTACCTTTCTAAAGGAATAAATGTAGGCATTAGAGTTTGGCCAAGAAGTCTGAGTCAACTCTGCCCGCAAACGTGATGTCTGATTGGGAGGTTTTGGAGGTATGCAGGACAGTGGACGTTGATCAGCTGAGTATTTAGAGATAAAAAAATCATTACCAGCTACAGATGCTCCTGGTAAGACCTGATCTGAAGTTTTGAATCCTTCAGCATTTACAGGAGGGAAGGCAACATTGCTAGTTGGCAGATACACCATTTGGTTATTTCCAGCATAAGTGCATACATTTTTAGAGGAATAAGTATTTGTCTGAGGAAAAGCATGTGCATTAGAAAACAACTGAGTGTAACATGCTCCTTCACTTTGCAGATTCTTCTTTGCATCAGGATTCTGGAGTGGTCTTACATTCCAGTCCATCTTTTCTTGATTTCTTTTTCTTCAGCCAAAAACCAAAATGCTAAAAAAAAATAAAATCAAACCTTAATCTTTCAATCAAAACCTATTTCACTTACCAAGAAGTGATTTAGAATGCATTATGAACAGAACCATTGAACTTAAATTGCTAGGTAGAAGAGCAACTCCATTGGCACATCTCATGGACATTGATGTTGTCAATGTCAAGTTGCGTAAATTATTTCCCAGAACACAGTTAAGGTACAAAAAGACAGAGCAGCAACTAACAATTCTATTGACTGTCTAATGAATAACAAAATCCTCACATTATTTTGCTAATTCTATGGTCATTCAACTTTTTAATTTAATGATAGATTGCTTTATTTACCTTCTCACCCAACAACAATTGAAAAAAAACAATGTATTTGTATAACATGATACAATAAGCAATGCTTAACAGCTAAGCATAAGAAGCACCTACAGAATACAATACAGGTCGGAGTTTTCATAAAAGACGACTAGACTTCAATTATACCTTCAAATACAACAAAAGAAAGGATAAAATGAATCTGGGTTCAATAAAGATCTTTCATAATAATGTGGCCCACTTGTTTTTACTTTACATGTCATTTGCTCTTCCCTGACACTGTGGGCAGCTACTGATTTTTGAGAAACGCAAGTCTGTGACTCTAGTTAACAGCACATGTAGCTACAAGCAAACCACCACTAATTCTGTTTGGTAGCATTAACTTACTCAGCATGAAGCATGGAGATGACATCATCACCTCTACTGTTGCTGTAAGTACACCTCCAGGAGGTGACTAAGTCACAAATTTCTAACTCTTCATGTGTTATATTCCAGAATTTACATTGATTACCAACAAGCCCAAGTGGGTAAGTATGTTACTTTTGAATAACCTCCAGAAAGTTGTTAGAGACAGCATCTTCAAAGCCAAACAATACTTCAGTCTTCAAAAATGGAAAAGCACAAAAAAACCACGACAACCTACAAGCATGAACGCTGTCTGCATCTCCAGAAGTTCCTCTCAGTATGGTCAAACCCACCTCGGATAGAACAAACACCTCACTTTGTGAAGAGAGTTAGACAATTTCTCAACAAAATGTTGCAGGTCATTTCTCCCAGATCACCCAAGGCTCCTGACTTTCTTTCGTGGGCTCTTTTAGATTTTAAGACTCTCCCAATTTCAAACTTAGGAATTAGAAGCATCATTCAGGTCAAGCCTATAAGAGCCACAAAGTTAAAATTTTCCAGTTATTATTAAGATTCAAAGATAGCTCTATCTTCCTTCACTCTCTTTCACTTTCTCTGCTCTCAAAGGACACCAATAACAAAAGAAAACAGGAAAACAAAGTTGCATATGAAATTCATAAAAAACATCAACAACAGTATTAAGGCAATACTTACAGTGATGCAAGTGATGAGAAAACAGGCTTTTGCATCGAAGCTAAAGATTTCAGACTGCTAATGTTACACTGGGTATTTCCTGAAAAATAATCAAGGGATGAAACAATCATGTCCTTGAATTAGATAACTGCTGAAGGAATTTAAGACATTCAGAAACATGACTGAGATATGTAAACAAGACTAAGATGCCAACTAGCAGTAATTGTAAAATCCTTGCTAAACAGATGAGAACCTTTGACTACATGCAACACACAACTTAGCCAAGAGTAAAACCCAATTCTTGTCACTGTCAAGACCATAAAAATGAGGAGTACAACCTTAGTTCATCATCATTATTAGCTGGATTAAGAAAACTAAGTTTGCAACTGTGATCACAACCTTAAAATGTTTTATAACTTTAATACAACAAAATATGCTACTTTAAAAAGTGATATTTGGCAGAAAGCGCTTGTCTTAGGAAGAACATTTGAGAAGATCAGTATCAGTACAAGACTCTGAAAGACAAAGAGAAGACTGTTCCTCACACATGCCTGCTTCACTCTTTTACCTGCTACTTTCTCACCTTCACCACAAGCCTCAGAAATTATCAGCAACTACTTCACAGGCAACTGCTGATTTTTCATTGACCGCACAGGAAGGGAATGGAGAGATAACCCCATTGAACGCAGGAGTAACAACACAGCTCTTCAACAGATCTATCATGCGACTAAAATGCCTACACCTAGACTTCTCTATCAGATAGTTTTAGGCGTGTCTCTGGCCTCTGCCTTACGTAATGTCCCTGAATCACTCTGTGGAGATGCCTCACAGAGAGATTTAGGCCATCTATATAAAGACCAGTAAGTTCAACTGTTATGGGTTTCTATTCTAGAAGAAAAGGAGCAATACATCCAAACAGTGGAAGGCTTAAGTTTCCTACAGTTTTCTAACTGAAACATCTAAATTCATTTCTGATAGTAAAGACCTCAATTTTTATTGGCAATGTTTGTTATTGATTACTTCTTCTTAGAGGCCCTCTCTAGGAAATAAATACAGAGGAAAATAAATGAAGCCTAAAACACAGAATAAATTGTTACAGGCTTTTGATCTATTGGATTGGGTAAGACATTCCAGCGAAGATTTAATACTTCATTCACTGAACGCTGTAACTTAACATTAAAGTCTGTACACTGGAGCCAGAAAACACCTAATCAGGGAAAACATAGGGAGAGTATGAGACTCAGCAATGTTGTGTCGGACTCATGAGAGGCAAACCAAGATCACAGTAACAGTTGACTCCTAGAAGGTATAGAAAGCACACCCAAAACCAGTTCACTGGCACCAGTCAAGAGGATAGTAGGACATGCAGTAAAGAGTCATGAGGTTACATGCCTTGTCCTACACATTGCTGGAAGAGAAAGTTAACATAAATGCAGCAGGAGGCTGCAGAACCATGGTGTGGGAACTACTGTGCCGAGACTGGACAGTAACTGAATGGCCTACCCCGAGCAAACAATTACCATTTCTGCAGAGAGCAGCCTGGCAGTAACCAAACTACTAATTTAGCATTAATGTATTTAGCATTTTGGTTAAATGGTAAATGCTACAATCGAGCAGGCAAGACACCTGCATGATCATAGAATCATTAAGGTTGGAAAAGACCTCTAAGATCATCGAGTCCAACCGTCAACCCAACACCACCATGCCCACTAAACCATGTCCCTAAGCGCCTCATCTACACGTCTTTTAAATCCCTCCAGGGATGGTGACTCAACCACTCCCCTGGGCAGCCTGTTCCAATGTTTAACCACTCTTTCACTAAAGAAATTTTTTGATGATGATCATCAGGTAAACTACTCACCTGTCAATTGGTTTCTGATTCACCAGGGAACATGGACAACCAGTTCAAATGGAGTGAGCAACTGCAGAAGGCAACAGGTTGCTGAAATTAAAGGGTATAAAAAGATAGCTCACCAACTGTGGGCCAAGACCAGCAGCAGAGGATCACAACATTGAAGATCCCCACCACCTGAAAAAATCAACAGTTATGGAGGCAAACATCCTTCTCCAGGCTATGTCAACACACAAGGACAGGTGTTCCTGGAGCCCCCATGCCATAAGCATGGTCTCTTAAGAGCCAATACAAGGATCTTGTGACTGTAACAGACCAGGAAAACTTATTCTGGGGTTGCTCCTACAGTCAACCCCTGACAAATGGGCTGGGTAACAATACCTGGGAAAGTCAGAATGCAAGCGTGCATTCTGTGTGGGTGCACATGCCAAAGACTAGTTTATTCGGAGGGCATCTGCCCAAAATTGATCAAGTCAAAAGGGAAGATGGTCATCAACCACCAACTGATGGAGTTGAAGAGGAATACAATCATCACCTGGATTAAACAGTAACTGGGGAAGTTCAGACACTTTTGAAACAAAAAAGGATTCAACAGAAGTATAAAAGAAGCATGACATTTTTAACAAGAGGAAAACACCTTGGAGTGGAAACAGCAGTAGTCAAGACCTGTGTGACACTGCCCAAAGTCACCCTGCCAACATCACAACCTCTACCTGTGCGAGACAGAGCATCCTCTCCATCAGATGCTGTAAGGAGCCCAGCCTGTATCCAGCTAGACGACTGACAGTGCAGGATGCAACAAGCAGGACCCACACCTCATCTGTGTGCATGCAAACTCATGGGATGCCTTCTCACCAGCATGGGGATCAGCAGGTTATGTGAGCAAATGCTCACATAAAGCTGGGGCAACCCCATCTCCCACAGAAGGTGTGTGCAAGAAGAGGGCTTGCAACCCATACATTGGGGGAAGGTGGAGAGGGATGCATGTCACAAAGAAAGAGACTAGACCTTTCTAGGATAAAAGAAGGGTGTTTAGAAACAGTGGGTGCTTCCAGAAACTGTAGATGCTTAACATTTTTGAAGTGTCACATTTTGCGGTTTATTTGTTATACTACCAATTTTCCTTCTGAAGATATAGTTGACTGCCAGTTAATTACACGTTCTTAATAAACTGCTTCAATCTTGAATAAACTACACAAACAGAATAGTTCTCTACTACAGTTTACCATAACTGTACATTACTGTATTTGTGTAATTTTTTTATTGCAATTGTACACTGTAGTGCTGTGTAAAAAAAAAAATCACTGTAATATTTGCATAGTCATGATCTCTATCCTCTACTAGGTAATGCTGCTATACATTTGCTCCAGACTGACCTTAAGCATGATTACTGGAAGGAAGTAAACAATACTCACCTGGAGATTAGTGACATCAGTAACCCAAAAGTACCATGAGGAAGTAACCAGCAACAGGAGATGAAAGGAATGACGACAAATAAGGAGTATTTGATCAGGTGGCCCATGTAACACTGGGACCACGAGACTAGTAATATAAATTCAGCACATCAAAGCCAAGTCTGTGGAAGATCCTTTGATCACTCTGGAGAAACAGCCACCAGTAGACCTCACTGCTTTTCAAAAGCATTGAAGTTGACTTCATACAGGTCCACTGATAAGGAGGAAGCTAGCGTTGTACCCTGATTTGAACTGCGGTCAGCAAAACCTCGTATTTACCAGTGTGACAGCCAACATAGGGCTGGCCTCCCCCCAGTTATCTGTCAGGATAGGTCCATGGGAGCTCGACTACTCTGGTGTAACTGTAGCAGGGCTTGTGGTAGGCTGACCTCAGCCAGCAGCCAAGCACTCATACAGCCACTCACTCACACCCAAGCAGGACAGGGGAGAAAATTGGAAGAACAAAAAGTGAGAAAACTCAAGGGTTGAGATAAAGAGAGTTTAACAGGTAAAGGAAAGGGGAGGCAGGGGGTGGAAACAAGCAACACAAAGGAAATCACTTACTACCTCCCACAAGCAGACGGAAGGCAGGGAGTGGAAACAAGCAACACAAAGGAAATCACTTGCTACCTCCCACAAGCAGACCGATGCCCAGCTAGCCTCTGAGCAACAGCCATCTTGGAAGCCAAACGCCCCCCGCCCCTGACTTTCTTCCGCCACCTGTTTTTATTGGTGAGCATGAGGTTATACCGTATGGAATATCCCCTTTCACCAACCTGGGTCACCTGTTCTGACTGTGTTCTCTCCCAGACTCTTGCCCACTCTCACCCCACTCGCTGGGGGGACAGAGCGGGAAAGCGGAGGCCTTGATGTTGTGCAAGCACTGCTCAGCAATCGCCAAAACACTGGTAAGTTATCAACACTGTTTTAGCCACAGATCCAAAACCCAGCACATGGAATATCCCCTTTCACCAACCTGGGTCACCTGTTCTGACTGTGTTCTCTCCCAGACTCTTGCCCACTCTCACCCCACTCGCTGGGGGGACAGAGCGGGAAAGCGGAGGCCTTGATGTTGTGCAAGCACTGCTCAGCAATCGCCAAAACACTGGTAAGTTATCAACACTGTTTTAGCCACAGATCCAAAACCCAGCACCATACAGCTGCTGTGAAGAAAATTAACTCCATCCCAGCCACACCCAGTACAGGGCTGCAAACAGCATTGAACTGTAATGCTCATGGCTGATATTGTTATCATTTTACTCTAACTCCCGAAACGCAGAGAAAAGACTATGTTTAGAAAGGAGACGTTGCTTTATTCGATAGTGCGCAGAATCGGACACTCGGGGGAAGTTCCCCAAATCAAGTGTAAGGTTAAACAGAAGACTTAGCATATTTATACACTCAAGTTTGCATAATTCATTAGCATACCTCACGTTGACCCTTCTTATCTACTACATTTACATATTGCTAACATTGCAAAAGTATACTAAGCGTGTGTGAGTGGTCATCGCTGGTCATTTGGGTAGGTGCACCCTATTCATTCTGAGATGTAGTTAACTTCAGGATGCCACTACAGATGTTATCTTTCCAAAGGCTTTGTAAGCATTCTATACATCCTTAATTGATCAAGTCCTTGTGATTGTTATTCTAAGATAAGTTAAAATTCCATCCTTGACTTCGTGAATGCTCTGCATGATAGCTAAAGCTACAACAATTAGAGCATATTTACATAAGGTTAGGTTTAAACTCTGCTGGTATCAATATGCTTTATTTAGAACTACTGTTTTATTAGTTTTAGGTAACAGATACTTGAATTAAGGGCTCATCTCTTTCGCTGGCATAACCACTTCCACACTAATCAATCGACTGTCCCAGCACACCTTGATGAAGTTCAGCATGCTGAAGGCATTAAAGGTATTGACTGCTACAAATTGATTCTTGTGCTCCAGCACCATGGCTGCCCTGGAACAAGCTGGTGGAGAATGCAGACAGCACTGAGGCTATCCTACAACAAATTCCCCATACCACACAAGTATAAATAAATTAATCAGGGACATAAATAGTCAGGAAGTGGTGCATGGCATAGAAAGCAACGTGAATAAAAGCAGTTCATCATCTGCCTCAAGTTTGCAAGATGATGATTTAAATGTAAGGGTTAACTAATAAACATACTACTTATTTCCATTTAGGTATTGAGCCTTGTCTGTTTGGCTAAGTACAGACTGACCTAAGCTTGCTCTGTGTTTTTAGCTGGCCAAAGAATGTCCAGCTTGAGCCTGGAGGTAACTGCACATGACATCACGTTCAAGCCAATATGCTTTGCTGCTAAATGGTGCTATGCATTTCACTTACATGTGGGAATTTAAGTTAAGACTGCGTTTTGAGCTCCCACTTTTTTTTCTTAAATCAAACTGGACATAAAAGTTTATTTATATATACATATAAAAAACTAGGAACATAAACTAAGAATAAGCATCTTCAACTTCACTGAGAGTATCTTCAGCTTAACTTTTCTGAGTTTACTCATGTAAACTGTTAACCTGAACATCTAGTACAACGGCATTAAAAAGCAGTCTCTCTCTAGGCACTACTCCTACACGTAGGGCTTGTGCAGGTGACTAAGAGCCACACGTACACTCAGAGAGTGCAAAAATGAAACTGGTGTGAGGAAATTAGTTCAAATGGTGCTGTTGAAAGGGTTACATCCCTGACTAAAACCTTGCTGTGATACACAAAAGCTTCACTTGCATAGTTTTAGTTATTTGTCGAGTAGAGTTGATGATAGGACATTTTGAAACATGTAATTTCTTGCCTGACAAGATTAAACAGGCCTTTAGCTAGCTCATTAAGCTTCCTGTGTCAATCAGTGGTAACAGGAACTTAGGACAATTGTGTCAAGATAAGTGCCAAAAAACTAGTTTAAACTGACCCCATTGTAACATCCCGGAGTCGAAGGACTGATAAGCTAATTCAATGACTATATATGGACAAAGGAAGCCCAAAGTTCAACTAGCGGACAGAGTGAGGAAGACTATGGACGACCACCGGAGGGTGAAAAGACCCTAACCCTAATTTTACTGCGCATGCTTGGACTATGTAAATGAATTCCAGGAACTCATCACCATAAGACCGCCTTTTCCAGGAAATCTGATGAATATGTATGATTTTCCTGTATATGAACTGGTGTGCTTTGCTAACCCGTTGGAGCACTCAAGGCGGAGCTATCCCCAGTGCTGCCCAGCGTTGTATTAAAGAATGCCTGCTTAATAACAAACTAGTTGTTATTGAGTTATTTATCTCGGAAAACCATCCCAATCGAGCCTCCTCCTGTGAGGAGCGTCAAAAGATGCGGTTCGGTACCGACTTTGTTTCACTGTCACGGTCAGACCCTCTGCCACTATCCACCCCTTGAAGGAATACGGTTCCGAGGCACAAAGTGAGGTTTATTGGGATAAGGCACTCATTAAGTAGGTAACAATTACACCACCTCACCTGCGAGTGAGGACCATCCTGCTTCTATTCTAAATTCCTTATAATCTACCTAATAGGTATCACTCAATTCCCAGGAAAGTATCCTCACCCGGCGTCCCAAGTAAGGGGAGATCACCAAGGTGGAGGCCAGCCGTTCCTCAGGAGCACTCCAATCGGGCTCTTGGGGAGCGGTTTATACACCCATCTCCTCAGTGGTTTCTGCAGTCACCGCCTAGCAGTGTCATTTCGCTGTTGCCAGGCAAGCCCAGGGCCCTACTCGCTCTGGATCGTCTCCTCACACGTGCCTAGACATTTGGGATGTCCAAGGTCCTGGGTAGCAAGCCCACAGGCTGAAGGTCCAAATTCCCAGTGAGACACACAAATCACGATAGTCAAATTCAGAGTCTTATTTGACAGAAAATAAAATACACAAACATGAGCGTACAAGCATACAGTTTGCTACAGGGCTCCTTAAAAATCGTTGCTGGTAAAACAGGAATTATACTAAAGAAGAATCGTATCTGTAGTCAGCCCTTGGAATTTGAGAGCCGCTAACTTAACATCAAACAGGGGCGAATTGCCTGGCAAAGGGGTCCCCCAGAACCGGGGAGATTATCCAATTCCAATCTAAAGAAACTTACAGCAAGGAGAAGTGACTAAAGACAGAAGCCTCTGAGCGTTCCGTAAAGACAAAGAAAGAGAGAGAGAACGAGAGCGAGCCAGCTTCACTTTCTCATACGAGTCAAGTGAGGAGAATTTATACCTGTCCTTAAGTTTGTGATGAGTGGAGTCAGGGTCCCTGGTGTGGGATTCCGACCTGCCTACTCTCCTTCCTTCCTTCTGCTATTTACATTGATTCTTACGGAGTCTTCTCAGATTTACGTGCGCTAACAGAAAGGGGCTCTTCACTTGGAAGCGGTGTTTGGGGCAGCACCAGCAGAGAATCAGCGTTGCTGTGAGTCCTGGGCTCAGTCGGGGAATGGTAGATGGCTGCTTCTCCTGCGTACAAAAGAGAGACACCAGAGAGCCATTACCTTGGAAAGGCCACCCAGGGCAGGGGCATCAGCAGCTAACAGCTCTTCCAGCAGCTAACAGCTCTTCCTAGCTCGCTCCAGGGACTTGTCCCGGAAGGAGACTGTGGTACCATGCCTGGAAGGGGAGCTGCACCATGGTGCATCTCCAGCCCACAGCCATCACAGGTGCTGGGATCCCTGAGCTGCCACAGCAGAGAGCCCAATTGATTCAGAAGCTCTTGAGCCTGACTGCCCATCCAGCCCATTCACTTTTATTGCCAACAGCTCCTGCCCACTCACCCTCAGGCATGGCTGGGCAACCCTTCCCATTTAACCCTTGCTGCTTTGGATCTGACTTTCTGCTGGCCTGTCTGAAAACCATGCTCATGCAAGTCTTTGCAGTCCCCAATATTTAGTTTTGGATTAAGTTGGATTTACTGAATTAAGTTTAGCCCCGTATTAGTGAATTACTGGATTTACTGTCATTTTGACCCAGATAAGTGTACAACTGATTGGTATTTGTTACTGAACTGTTATTTTGAGATAAACTGTTTATCCCTAAAGCTGTTGGTCTGGTGTCTGTTACCATACCCTGAATCTAACTCGACCAGGCTGCCTCAAGCCTCACCACTCCAGTGTCAGAGGGATGCAGTACACGGCACCGTGACTGGCCCCAGCCTTGCAGTAGGTGCCTGAACTGACTGTTTTGGGGCCTTGCCTCACCTGCGGGCACCAGATGCTCTTACAGAGGGAACCACCTGTTCCCTTCCCTTCTTTGATTAGAAAAAGTCAGAAAGACAAAAGCACGAAGGAAAAGTTACCCTGCCTATTTCTCTTAGCTCATGGTCTTCGAAATACTGAGCACCATTCGAATGCAGCTGAAGCCCAAGTTGTCTCCCTACAGAAAGGAGTATCTCAAGCCCAGCAGGACACTTGGGCCAGGATAGATAAGACTCTCGCCACTGCTGGTGTTAGAAGCCTTCCGGTGACTGTAGAGAAGTGAGTGTGCCACATGGTCCCCGTGGTGGCAGTATCTGCCCAGGAAAAACTTGACAGGTGGCTGGAAGCTGCCTAAAAGGGAGCTTCTGAAACAAAAATACCTAAAGCTTTATATATTGATCAAGACAACTGGGACAGAAATATTTGGTCCAATTTGACTTCAGACAATTATATGTCGAATTCCTCCCTTCTTGAAGCCTGACTGGACTTACGAATCATACCAACTATTAAAACTGAGTATGATGCTAATGGAGGCATCGCAATGGAGGCGATGGAGGCACCTCTACATGCTCTTTCACAGGCATAGATCTAGCCAAATTAAGCGAGTGCTATGACAAATCTGTTACTGTGGGTTATTTAGCCTGTCTTGCAAATATGTCACGTGACAGAGGGATACCATGTGAATTTCAGAAACAGAAGCCTGCACCCTCCTTTAGGGTCTGGAATCCAACTACAAACTCCAGTGGGGAAATATAGACTCCTATCTTTCAGGCATCACTGGCATATGCTCAAAGGCCCTGAGATGACCTAGGCCCCCTGACTATTCCCTGGGCCAATCCCACAGATTTGGAATTAAGCACAGGTAGGCTGGTTATCAATCACGCTTTAGAGGTAGCCCCTGTGGCAGACGAAGCCCTATCGGCTTGTCATCCCTCTGAAGGTCCAGCAGCGCCCACTAGTCAAGAAGGGTCCTGGTCCACTCAGAGCCCATTAACGTCAATAGGCACTAGCCTTACAGGCACAGTGCCCAGCGCCACGTGGTCCCAGCTATTAGTAAAGTTAGTTTCTGCTATGCTCATTCTGTCATCCTCCCTCCTCTGTGAAGATGCAGCTATAGTTACCACCAAACACCCTTGTGTCCAGTTAGTTAAAAATCCCCCTAAGCCTGTGCAAAAGGGCCCTGACCCAAAGCGTCTTGAAGTGTGGAAAGCCTGTTTGGCCCCAGGCATTCCCAAACAGGCAGCCCACAAAGTCCCAACATCCATTTTACTGGCTTTTGCCAACAACCCTCCCATGCCACACCTTTTCCCACCAGAGCCTTAGCAAGGGCCCTAAAGCCCCTCCCACCACTTCATCAGCTGGAAACTGGAAAACCCCCAGCCCTTGGTTACCACACAGACTTATCAGACATACAATTAGCAGCCCAGGGGAGCCGGTCAGAACCTCCTGATCCCTCCCAGGTGGCATGGAGGGTGCAGCTTACAGGGACTTCCCATCCAGACATAGATGCCACCATCAACGATACCATCATTTGTGTGTCCTCATAGGCACTCAAAATTCTGTCTTCAGTTGATCACACTGGAAGGGACCACTTCCCTCATCCTCTGCAGTAGTCCACGGGTTCACAGGAGCCCCTTCAGCCCTTCCCGTAGTCAGTCAAGTGCAACTTCCCTAACAGACAGACCGCCCGAGGATCTGCAGGTTTTGGGAGGTTCTAACATCCATTGTGGAGTAACCCAAATGCAATTCTGGTCAGGTCAGAACAGCAGCAGTTCATTACCGTAGGTACAGGGGACAACACAGAGCAGCAGCGCTGACAGCCTCTGCTGATACAAGCTCTGCCCAGCTGGGACAGTGACAGAGTTTATATACCTCTGGGTTACACGACTTATTTTTCACAGAACTACAGCTATGTGTCAGATAAGCAGGACGTAGTAAGTTACCACAGAGAATGGTAACATACAGATTACTTCGGATAAGCTCCAGACAGTACATCCTTTTATAAGTATTCCACTCCAATAATTGGGTCACGCTTACTCAGTGAGGCCATTAAGTAACACTGCAGATATTTCTTAACTCGAGAGGCCTGCAAAGGCCTGTGAGGCATTAGCTATTTTACTTCCACATACGGAACTACTCAGAGACCGGACCTTCCATGACGCTCAAGGGAAGGTACAGTCTTCTGGTACTTCTGAACCAAAACTCCCCCTAGTTCGGGTACTCTGAGAAGCACCTCCCCTACCTCCAATGACCCATGCTGTTAACACCCTGTGAACCTGCAAGCCCCAAAACTCATTACCTCCCTTCTCACACAACTGGAAAAAAACCAGGGAGTATGCACTTGCACCCGCTCCCCCTTTAACAGCCCCAGACAGCCAGTGCACAAATCCAATGGGTCTTGGCATCTGACCAATGACTACCAAGGCATAAATTCTGCCTCCTCTCTGCCTCATACTGCAGTCCCAATAGCTGCCAAAGTAACCAATGCCATTTACCTTTCCTCTTACCTATGCATAGCGGGTTTGGACATTAAAGACGTGTTCTTCCAGTGTCCCACCCACGTGGACGACCAAGCTCACTTTGCTCATACTTGGAATGGCATTCATTATACCTTTACTCATTTACCTCAAGGCTATTGCTATAGTCTTACCATTGCTCATGGTATCTTACCATCAACATTAGCTGACATTTCTCCCACTCCTGATGTCTCTCACCACCAGTATATTGATGACGTTTTCCTAGGCAGACATAGATGGGAATCTGTTGCACAAGATATGATCCCCAATTTCAGCCCTCAAAGAACACCAGGAACTTTATATTCCTACTGGTAAATGCCAGGGTCCTGCCCAGAATTGTAAGGTGTTTGGGTTCTTTTTAAAGGAGTCTTCTTGTATGCCAGTACCAAAGGTATTCCTGAAAGTGCCTTGCAATCTGTTTTCTTCACCCAGCCTACTGCCTCCTCCAAATGCAAACATCAGAGTCTCCTAAGCTCTTTAAACTTTTGTTGTGACAAGGCCTGGGTTTTAGTCAGCTAGGCCATCCTCTCTATTCCTTGCTGTGCACACATTCTACCTGGGACTGGAACACGAGTCACCAACAGGCCCTAACCCTTCTCCTACAAGTATTCAACAGTACTGGTATTTGGGACCCCTCACTCCTACTGGTGGACTAGAATGCAGGATCCAGCACAGTGCAAACTGCTTGGTGGTGACTGTTCCAGGAAATAGGTCCCAAGGACCCTACCCCTAAATCAATCCCTTCTGGCAGCAAAGGGTGGCAAGATGTGCAAGCCTTGGATGGGGAATGGGAGCGTGCTTTACATGCCACCTTCCTTGCCCTTTCCAATATTGACGAACTCCTTGTGGATCGCCCCCTTACACTGAACAGTTTTACAACTATTCTTTGCAATGTCCTTCACACATTCCTTTCCCTGAAGGACATGCACAACCTATTACCATTCAATGTTGGGTTCTTGTTATCTCTGCCATCAGAATCCAATCTTTAGGCCCCAACCATATGATTCTCACCTCCCTCTCCTCCAGCTACAGATGATCCCTCAGACTCATCTATTACAGAAGCCTATCCTTTCAACACCCCACAGAAGGATGTCTGGTTTACAGAAGCCTCCACAATCCTTCACCATAATGCCAGGTTTGGGCATGCCACTGCTTTTCATACTGCAGATGACCAAGCTGTTACACCTGATTGTCATGATGGTGCCCAGACGGCTGAACTCTCGGCCCTTTGCTTACTCATTGACTCCTCTGACAACCAGGTCTACACTGACTCCTGGGCTGTTTTTGCTGGGTGCACCCACTGTCTTCCCTCTTGGAAAGCACACTCCTTCCGCACACATATTGGGGAAATTTGGGGCTGACTTTTTCATGAATAAATACAGGACTATGTGCACTCATGTGCTTTGGCTGTTGGCCATGTTGATTCCCATTCTGCTTGCCCCATGGCCAAGGCCATATGGAATGCCCAAGCAGATGTCACTGCTGTGATCAGAGGGGTGGCAGTGGTGGCAAACACTGACACCTATGATAAAGCCAGCCGCAGCCCAATAGTAGCAGATGAAACTGAGGAAACTTTAGCCCAAACCTCCAACCTGGACCACAGAACCACTGTGGTAGCTCTCTGGTTGCACAAGTGTTG